TCTTTATTAAAGAGCTTCAGTGAATTCATAGATTAAGGGCACAACCGGCCACTGCCATCATCCAACCTGATTCCCTGCATACCACGGCCGGGGCAACCTCGCCGCCCGGCTGGGGCAACCTCGCCCCGCAGCCGCTGTGCCCTGGGGAGCCCTCGCCGGGCTCTGGCCGGGCTCTCTGTGCTGCTGCTGCGGGGTGAAAACCAAAATAAACCCAGAACCGCGCTGGGAGGGCCCCAACCTGCTTGCACAGAAACAATCCTCATTTCTAAGATTTTTTTTTTTCCAGCTTTGGATGCTGGGAGGAGCAGGCAGGGCTGGAGGGGGGTCGGAACACGTGTGCCCCCCCCTCCTTCCCTCTCTCTCCCTGCAGGTCACCTCTGCCACCCCATCTGCCCGCCGTCCCACACCGGGGGATGCTCTGCAGCTGTGCCATGAAATGGGGGGTGAGGAGGGGGAGTTTGGAGAGGAGGGTGCCACCGTGGGGCGGTGGGAAGGGGCCACGGAGCCGCTGCTGGAGCTGGGCTTCCCCGGGTGGGTGAGGAGCTGCCAGATCCTGGGGAAAAACACGGCTAAAGAGGAGACAGCACATTCCTCAATGTACTATTTCTGCCTGCTGCAGATTATCGTGTTTCAAGCTAAGGAAAACAGAAGGGGGGATGCTACTACAAATGCTTGAGAGAGAGAGAGAGAGAGGAGCTGCTAAGGAGCCGCGCTTTCCCCTCCAGCGAGCAAAAACAGGCCGGAGAAATCCCCAGCGCTGCTGATCCCAGGGGCACAGACGGAGCAGAAAAAAAACCCCCAAGACCCTGCCCGGCTGTGAAGGGTCCAGGCGGCCTCGAGGGGATTAAAGCCCCTCGCTGCCCATCTGCGTTGGTGTTTGTGCCCGACAACGCCAGGCCTGGCCGCAGAGCAGCCGCATGCCCGGGTGTGCACACACACGCACACACACAGACGCGAACGCACACGTGCCCCGTGGCACGGCGAGCCACGGCGAGCCACGACTGGCACACAGGGCCATGCGGATGTATCTTACCCGTGGCAAGGAGCAGCCAGGGGTGGCCACGGCCGCCGATGCCCTCGCAGCAGCCGGCACCGGGTGCAGCCGCTTCATCCCGGCAGTACCAGGCGTGGAGCTCACCCTCCTGCCTGCTCCTGCCTGCTCCTGCCCATCCCTCCCTCCTCTCCCCGCCAGCCCAGCCGCTGCTCCCGCCGGTTTCTATGGGAACTCAGCAGGAAAATATAGTTTCCAGTGAGGCTAGCGCTAGCCCGGCAGCCCAAACCCAGTGGCAAGCTGCCCCACCACGGGATTTGCTGGGGGAAACCCTGCACCTGGCTTTACCCTCCCGTCCCCTCGCCGCAGCCCCTCTCCCTGAGGGGACAGCCGGGGTGATGGGGTGCTCGGAGCCAGGATGGTGCTGGTGGCCCAGTGCAGCAGGATGGGTGCCACGGCGCCCTGGGCTCCCCAGTATGGGCTGGGGGTGCTGGGGCTGCTCCCTCCAGGGACACTCTGGCAGAGGCAGCCAGAGACCAGCCAGAGGGGACAGGCTTTGCGCTCACCATGCGATTTTTAGCAGACGCTCAAGAATTTTAATGCCTTGTCTACCCCCTCTCCAGGAGTCCTAATCCTGGCTCTGACTCGCCGAGGGGCTGGTTTAGGGTGGGCGATGGGGCCGGGTGTCCCCCAGCCATGGCTCCTGCCAGGCGGAGGGAGGACAGAGCAGGGAAGCCCCATCCTCCCCCAGCGGGAATAAAGGGGACAAGAGGGACCGGTGCAGATCAGAGCAGGACAGGAGCTCTCCTTCCCCATCAGGAAACGCCAGCGGGGTGCAGGGGAGGGAGCTGGCGCAGGCACCCACACAGAGCCCGCTATGTGTGCCCGTGCGTGCACACGCGTGTGCGTGGCTGCACACCACAGGATGAGCCATACCGGGAGCGACGGTGCGGGGAGCAGCAGCCCCAGCTCCTGCCCTGCGCTCGGCCCCGGGGATGCACAGCGGGATGCAGACGCTCTTGACGTGGAGAAGTGGGAGAAACCAACGGGTGCTGCCGATTGCCGGCGGCAGAGCAACACGCAGTGCCGCAAACAGCCTCTCCTGCCTGGAAGGATGGCTCCCCCCTGCCAATGCCACCCTGGGTCCTGCCGTGACCGGTCCCTGGCGGGCCTGCACCCCCCTCCACACCCCGAGATGGCCACGCACCCCCTTCCCACCGCAGCTTCCCTCTCGCCCCCCTGCTCGCAGGGATTACACAGCCGCTCCAGCAGCCATCTGGAGCAGGGAGCCGGCCCCCTGCACCCAAGGGACCGCGGCTCACGTCACGGGGTGGATGGCGGGGCCAGGCCGCTACAGATCGAACCGCGCACACGGGACTCGGCCCTCCCATGCCACGCCATGGCCCAGCCCTCGGAGGATGCCAAAGACCCCGCAAAGGGGTGATGGAGGGGCTGGACCTCCCTCTGCAGAGGGGCACCATGGCCAGAGCTGGGGTCCCCACCGCGTCCGGGGGGAGGATGGACCAGAGTGGCCAGTCCAGCCTCTTCTGCTGGGGTTTAATAGACTCGTGGCGTATTTAACATGCCCCATCATGTGATGAATCAGACCCTGTTCCCTCAGATCTAACAGCGGCGCAACAAAGCTGCGATTGAGCGCTCAGGGTAGCGGCTGCGGCTCGCGCGCCGTCTCCAGCACCGCCAGACACCTCGATGCAGGGGGGGGGGCCAAGCCAGAACGGCATCTCGCAGGCGACGCGCATCCCGAGGCGGTTCGCCCTTGCTCGCTGTCGAGGAGGGGGAGGTTTGGCTCTCTGTGAACGCGAAGGCAGCGAGACGGGAGCCGCGAAGCCCAGGGAAGCGCTTGGGTCCCTGGGAAGCGCCAGACGACATCTCGGGCTCCATCCATCCATCACCGCTCGTCCTGGCTGTGACCTCAGCAAAGCGCCCAGCCGTGGGGGGACCAGCCCCAGCATGCAGGGTC